AGCCACTTATTTAGTAAAGGAAGAACGCTAGGTTAAATCCTTCTAGTGCAAATAATCACACCCCAAATTATGTCTTCTAAGTTTACATTTTCAGATAAAATAAAAGACATCAGGAAACGCTTAACTTTATTCTTTGGTCCTAACAGCACAGCGAGGAACACTTTACACTTCACTAGAATCCCACTTAGACAATAACCAGGTTATTCCTTTCCAAGAGCTTTGAAACATGTTTACAGAAGGGATGTCCTGTACCAGATAAGGATCATTTCCAATTTAGGATTCAATGAATCCATAAACTGCCAAGATAGATACTTATTACGCTCATGCTCCAATGGTTCAAAGGAAGCAAAAATGGACAGACTAGGGTGTTAGGCCACCATGAAAGAAATCCTGATACAGCAAGAACTGACAAACATCATATTGTCTCATTCATTTGGGGAATATAAAAAATTAGTGAAAGGGAATAAAGGGGAAAGGAGAGAAAATGAGTGGGAAATGTCAGAAAGGGAGACAGAACATGAGAGACTCCTAACTCTGGGAAATGAACAAGGGGTGGTGGAAAGGGAGGTGGGCAGGGGGTTGGGGTGACTGGCTGACGGGCACCGAGGGGGGCACTTGATGGGATGAGCACTGGGTGTTATGCTATATGTTGGCAAATCGAACTCCAATAAAAAATACAAAAAAATGAAAAATATTCTTTTTTAAGATTTTATTTATTTATTCATGAGAGACACAAAGAGAGAGGCAGAGATACAGGCTCCATGCAGGGAGCCCAACGTGGGACTGGATCCCAGGTCTCCAGGATCAGGCCCTGGGCTAAAGGTGGCACTAAACCGCTGCGCCACCGGGGCTGCCCCATGAAAAGCATTCTTAATGAGCACTTCATTCAATGTGGTTGTTTAGCCTTAAGATCACTGGAAATTTGTCTACCAGTGAATTCCAACTATCTTCTGCAAAGTGAATCCACAAAAGAAACAAGTAAACATTCACCATTCCCAAAGATCTGCTAACACCAGTTGCTAGCTGGTTGTTTCAGGCCTGGCCCAGTGCAGGGTGAATATGCACCTCTCAGATTTCTGACTCCAGGGAGCACAAGTGATGAACAGCCACAGCTGCTGAGCTCTGAAATCCAATGCTGCTGCAGCTGAAATCCATTATCCCTGCATTTTCACCAAGGCCAAACTTCCCACAGGCTGCTTGTCAATGACTGAATGTGGCAGGGATATTAAGACTGGCCATTCCTGTGAGACACGGGACTTCCTTAACAGGTGACACTAAGGGGGGCACTTGATGGGATGAGCACTGGGCGTTATACTATATGTTGGCAAATTGAACTCCAATAAAAAATATTACTCAGCCATTAGAAACGACAAATACCCACCATTTGCTTCAATGTAGATGGAACTGGAGGGTATTATGCTGAGTGAAATAAGTCAATTGGAGAAGGACAAACATCATATGGTCTCATTCATATGGGGAATATAAAATTAGTGAAAGGGAATAAAGGGGAAAGGAGAGAAAATGAGTGGGAAATATCAGTAAGGGTGACAGAACATGAGAGACTCCTAACTCTGGGAAACAAACAAGGGGTGGTGGAAAGGGAGGTGGGCAGGGGGTTGGGGTGACTGGGTGATGGGCACTGAGGGGGGCACTTGACAGGATGAGCACTGGGTGTTATGCTATATGTTGGCAAATCGAACTCCAATAAAAAAAATATATACAAAAAATATATATACAAAAAATAAGAAAACAGGTGACTTGGAGTCAGAGATGCTGCCAGGGAGGATCTCCAACCTCACAAAGGATAGCAAGGACTAGACCTGTCACTACTTAACAGGTGTAGAAAGTAGTGAAACTTAGTGGGTCAGAACAAGACAACTTATTACAGCACAGCAAACAGCATCAGCAGGAGTTATTGGTGTAGTTTTGCCAGTTGCCCTGTTCCAAGTCCCACAGACAATGTAATGGGCTCAGGTGGATGCCACCAATGCAGTGGTCTGCATGGCAGCTGAGGAGCCCAGGGTCAAGGGTCCAGGACTTTGAGAAATGAGCAACAAACCAGCATCCCTCCCCTAGGAAGCAGTCAAACAGTAGTCCCACTGTGGTCCCCTTGTTCTACAGAAATGGCTCTGTATTAGGAGACTGGTAAGCCTTGCTTTAAAAACCCTCACCAAGAATGTACAAGGATGCTCACGACCCACAGTGGATGCCTCTCCCAACAGACCCATTTGCTTTGCCAGAATGTTTCTAGAACTGTACCAGATAGTCCAAGATCTTTCCTACTCACCCCTCCTTCATTCCCTCTCCTCCACAGGATTTAGACCTGCATCGAGTACTGTCTGGCAGTTCTGTCCGCCACCCATTTTTCATCAAGGGTGCTTTCCCTAGTAAGTCTCTAATATGCCTAATCCTACCTTGGCATCTGCTTTTCAGAGAACCCAAACTGGCACAAGTGGTGCCACTGATGGTCCAAGAAAACAGGCTGTGATAAGATGGGGTTCCGGGACAGCATCAGTCATTGCCTGGTGAACAGAATAGACACTGTCCTCATGGCGGTGTGGAGTAGAGATAGTCCCAGGCACAAGAGGGCAGCCCAACTGCTAAAGATTTCTCTGGAAGTAACCTGGGAAAACTGGGAGAATGATCTTGCAGATGTAGGGATTCAGATTTTTTAAATATATGAGAAGGATAAGGCCTACAAAGACAGTAGAGATGTCTGGACACTGTTATGTTGTACTGACACCCAGCAGCAGGGTAATGGAAATGGTTGACAGTTAATAAGTAGCTAAAGACGAAGTGTGAGAGCCAGAGGGCTTCTGTGGAGCTTACAAAGTCCTCTTCTGCAGTGGAGGAGCAGATAAAGGGAGAGCATAATGGAGTGGCAGAACTCAAGGCAGATGAAATACTCAATACTTAACGTGTGGCGAGTCTGCTTTGCCCAAGTCAGGGCCACATGACTCCATGTGGTTGGAAAATCCTGGGACCCTGACACATGGAGTGAGAACATCTGGCCAGATATTCCTCAGGGTGTTGGCTCTGCAGACATCCCCACTCAGACTTCAGTTTGCAGAGAGGACTCTTCCCTAATAACAGTATTTCCTCTGTGCCGGAAGATGCTGCAGAACCTAATTCCCCCAGAAGGCAACTTGTGTTCCCCTCTAAGAGGCTGTGTCCAGCCCCTCTTCTGGTTACTAAACTGCTAATTAGGATTAAATCCCAGCATAACCTGGCCACATTAGTCCTGAGTCTAATTAAGAGAAGAAAGTCTACACCAAAGAACTGCAAGAATTAGCTGACAGATACTGACAGGAATCAAGGAAGCCCTGGGGTTGGATTTCAAGAGTGCTGTATCAAGAGGGGCAGAAGAGCAAAAATTCAAACTTGGGAGCACATTCTCAGAATACAGATTTAATCCCCTGGTAAGGGCCCACAGGGGATATGAAGTCTCTACTAAGGTGGTTCTTAGAGGCCTGGAGAAAGCAATGGTTACCACTGAGCAACGTAGGAATGTCTGAGCTGTCCTGACAAATGGCAAAAGGAATGGAAAAGCAGAGGGTAGCGGACACACTGCAGTGGAGAGATTGCATGAGGTCAAAAACCACATTACAGAGTAGTGTTCCACAAGGGGAGGCAGCAGACACCTCATTTACCAAGGCCATCAGGAAGGCAGTGGCCAAAGGGGCATCAGCATCACTACATTCAGAGGTGACCTCCTCTGTAGGTCAGGGATGACAGTAAGAGACCATCACGGAACTGGGCACCGGAGTAACAGAGAACAGGTAGAGGCACAACCTACCAAGAGCCAGGAGGCTACAAATACCAAAAACAACCACAAGGCCTGAGGGGCAGCCAAGGAAGTTTACCTACAGGGAGTTGCAGAGATGGCAAATGGACTGTGTCCCTAGAAATGATACAGATGGAAAGCCAGCAAGGGTATCAAGATCTACAAGCTGAAAAAGACAACAGTGGAGGAGCAGAGGTTTGAGGGAGGTTTCTCCAATGAAAAGTCCTAATTTCTTGCTCAGTTTCCAGACCTGGAAGAGGTAACTGGGTCCCTAGAAGGAAGAACAATGACATATATGCCCCAGGACCTCCCCTAATGGGACCTATAGTCACTTACATCAGTGTCTGTACACTGGGGAGACAGCCAGACACTCAAGGAATACTGGACTCAAGATCAAAGTTAACATTGATACCTAGACACCTGAAGCATGATCATGGCCCTATTTGACTGGGGGCTCCAGGGCTGAGTAATCACTGAAGTCTTGGCCTCAAACAAGACTCACAGGGGGGCCTGCAGACCTAGTGGTCATTTCCCACTCCTCAAGTATGTAACTGGAATTGAGTTGGTACTTAAAGAGTATTCCCCACATGCGTCCCTGGCTTGTAGGGCAGGAGCTGTCACAGTGAGGAAAGTCAAGCGGAAACCTCTAAAACTGTTCTCCTCCACCTTGGACAAGAATACATTGAATGGTTACTTATCTGTGTCAACTTGGCTCAGGCTGTAGTACCCAACTAGTCAATCAAACAACAATCTAGGTGTTGCTATGCAAGTATTTCATAGATGTGATTAACATCTACCATCAGTTGATTTTCAAGAGATTATCCTTGATAATCAGGGTGGGCCTTATCTAATTAGTTGAAGAACCTAATAGCAAAACTACGATTTCCCTGAAGAAATTCTGCCTATGGACTGCAGTATCAGCTACTGCCCAAGCGTTTCCAGCCTGCTGTCCCGCCCTATAAATTTCAGACTTGCCTAACCAGTCCACACAATTGCATAATTCAATTCCTTGCCATACACATACACACATACACACACAGGCAAACCTCAGAGCTATTGGGGGTTTAGTTCCAGACCACAATAAAGCGAGTATCACAATAAAGCAAGTCACATGTATCTTTTCATTTCCCAGTGCATATAAATTTATGTTTACACTATAGTTTACTAAGTATGCAATAGCATTGTATGTAAAAAAAACAATGAACATATCTTAATTTAAAAATACTTTATTGCTAAAAAATGCTAACCAATATCTGAGCTTTCAGTAAATCAAAACCATCAATCACAGATTACTGTAACAAATGTAATAATAATGAAAAAGTTTGAAATGTGATTATCAAAATCTGAGAAACGAAGAAAATGCTGTTGGAAAAATGACACTGAGACTTGTTTCACACAGGGTTGCCACAAACCCTTACTTTGAAAAAAAAAACAAAAAACAAAACAAAAACAACCACAGTTTATCTGTGAAACACAATTAAGCAAAGCATAATAAAATGAGGTATGCCTGCATGTTTTCTCATTAGGAATTGGCTTACAGCAAGATATACATATCCTACTGGTTATTTTCCTGGTAAAACCCTAATTGATACATAAATCAAAACAATATTACATCTCAGTGGAGCCAGAGTAGATCAGTGCTACTATTAAAAACCTAGAAGATGCAAAGAATGGTAGCCCCTCTATCTTTGCACCTCTAGCCAAATGGGGGTCCCTGTATGACCAGCTGAGGCAGAAAACAGCTTGAGCTTGGTTTTTATGTGGGTTCGTTCAGTATGTGGACACAAAGTGATGATGAATGGTATCTGCCTTACCGCCACAGTCAGGGGTGGAGAAGGAAACATCTTCCAATGAATGGGATCTAACGTAGTACACCTGACTTGGTGTAAAAGAAGAGGCATAATGTGAGACTCTTTATTGGGTATACACAGACTCCTGGGCAGTGGCCAGTGGCCTGGCCATCCAGTTGAGAGACTGGAAGGACAAGAGGTAAAAATTAGAGACAAGGAGGTATGGTGTAAAAACTGTGGACTGACATGTGAGAGATAAGGCAAAGTGTGAATACTTTTGTATCACATGCTAACATTCATCAGAGCATCCACCACGGAAGAGGCACTAAACTGCCAGGCAAACAAAATGACTGAGGTGCATAGGCCTTTTGTCAGTGGCTACTACACAACTGGGATGATGGACACATAAAGAGAGTGCCATGGCCCAAGAGCAAGGACTCCTGCTTACCAAAGCTGATCTAGTGGGAATCCTCTGACAGGTGCTTTGGCTCTAGGACTCCCATTTCACTGGTCTTGCTCAAACATTCTCACAACTCCATAGCAGTTTAAGCCTTTTTCCTACCCAACCTTCCTTCTTGCCTTCCCTCTTCTCCAGAGGTTAGACTTCTATCAGAGTCTGACTGCTTTTCCAGACTTCTCCAGCCTCCTTTCCCATTTTCTTTCATGGGCATTTTCTCCTAAAAACAAAGTCTCTTGCACATCTAATCTTGGACCCAAACTAACATACCAAGTAAACTAATTAAATGTGCTCACTATTAAAGCTCTGTTCCTTTGTTTAAAGGGTCAGAAGTGCAAGCTTAGTAATTCAGCAGCGGTGTTATGGTCCTGCAAACTAATTCCTACCTAACTCAATAAGGGACTGACTGAAAAACTAAAAGGACAAGGTTCTCAAAATGAGAAAAAAAACAAAAACAAAAAACCTGTCAAGGCGACCAGAGAGATACGCAATGAAGCTGACAAAGTGTTCCCATCTCAGCAAGAACAGCTACTTGAAAAGGAAATGGCCCAAAAGTGGCCTGGCGTGTCTGAAATGTGGAAACACAGCTGGCTAGCCAAAAGGTAGAAACAATCCAAATGTCCATCCACCAAGGAATGGATAAACGAAATGTGGTCTATCCATGCCATGGATAGCCATAAAAAGGAACAAAGTACTGATCCATGCCGCAACATGGATGAACCTCAAAAATATACTAAGTGAAAGACACCAAACACAAAAGGCCATATATTGTACGATTCCACTTGCATAAAATGTGCAGAATAGGTAGTTCTATAGGAATGAAAAGCAGATTGGTGGCTGACAGAGACAAAGAGGGGGGAATGGAGAGTAACTGCTTAATGGGCACAGCGTTTCATTCTGGAGTGATGGAAATGTTTTAGAACTACACAGGAGTGGTGGTTTTACAACACTGTGAAGGTACCAAAGGCCACTGGATCATTCCCTTTAAAATGGTTAATCTGATGTTATGTGAATTTCACCTCGATCTAAATAAATAAATAAATAAATAAATAGTGAGGCGGTGCATGGACATTGAAAAACAGATGTTTAAAAAATGTTTTAAAGGAGGGCAGGGGGCAGAGAGAGGGGGCTGGTGTTAAGAATCACTATCCCCTTCCCATCAAGCTGTCCAAATCTAGTTAAACCACACTCTTCTATTCTATGGCTATACCTGCCAACTGGCTTGCCACCTAAACATCTAGCACAAAGACTAGAATCCCTAGATTGCCTGGTATTTCCCCTTTCCTGGCAATTATGTCATAAACTGGGGTCGTAAATTCAAGGGCCATATTTACGAAACCAAATTTAAGTCCTGAGCATGTTCCCAGGAACAATGGATTTTGTCAAAAGTATAGGATATGTGGCTGTTAAGACTACAGCTCTCGATGACTCTCATACTCAAGGGATTTGAAGAATTTAGCCCAGAGATTTTACTCACAGTAACAGTAAAAGTGTAATTGAGTATGACTGCATTTTCAAGATCAAGTCTATTTCCAGTACTAGTAGACTGTCAAACAGGCCGCAGCTTCAGTGGTGCCTGCGGTCACTGGGGTTGGAGGAGTCCCGGTCACGCGAGTGCCGGGCCCTCTTATGCCTGTGCGATCTCTCTCGGCTCCTGCTTCTACCTCTCCGGCTATGCCCCTCAGAACGCCCATTGTGCCGGCTGGAATGCGTGTCTGAGCTTCGGCCTCTGTCTCTGTCTCTGTCTCTGTCTCTCTCTCTTTCTCTCTCTCTATCCTTCTCTCTCTCTCTATCTCTGTTCTTTTCTTCTCTTTCTTTCCTCCTGCTTGAGGACCTACGTTCGTGCCTGGGCTTCTCCTTCCTCGGCTCCCTCTCTCTGTCCTCTGCTCTGCTGCGGCAGGTGGTCTTGACCTCGGGAGAGCTGTGGTGGTGCTTGCGCACCTCTCTGGGTTCTGACTTCTGACCCCTCTCTGGGTTCTTGGTGCTGTGCTTTTTAGAGCCAGGGTCATCCTTTTCCTTTTCCATCTGGTTTTTGGGGGATGAAGAGGAGACTGGCTGCTCTGCCTGTACTTCCTGGTCAGTCTTCTCTTTGTCTTTCTTTCTTCTCTTTTTCTCCTTTTTGTCTGGAGGGAAAAAGGGGCACAACCAATAAGGAAAGGAAGAGGGGGAAGGGGGAGGGTATGCCAAAGGAAAGCACTGCTGGTAGCATTGGGAAGCACTCATAATCTATACTTCCAGAAAAGCATCTGTGAGAAGTCAACTTGGACAACTGTCCCCCTTGATAGGTCAAGTCACTGGATAAGGCAATCCTCACCCCAAATTACCTTTCTAAAGACCCGACCTCCAAATACAGTCACATTCTAAGGTCTCGAGGGATTAGGACTCCAACATATGAAATGGGAAACAGAATTCAGCCCATGATATTAGTCTTCCACTGATACCTCTCCTTTCCCAATTACTATAAGGTTCCCCACACCCTTCCTCTTCACACCTAATAACTGATTACCAATTCTTAGTGAATGCTAGGAGGAGCAAACACTAAGACTGCCCAGAATCTTCTCTCAGGTCTTAGTGCTTTACCTTTTTTGTATTTTTTTGTGGGTTTGTCATCTTCGGAACCCTCAGATGAACTCACGGAGGGGGTGTGAGCCCCACAGCCCTTCTCCTGGAGCTCTTTGGTCACATCGTCCATTTCTTCTGAGTCCTTAGGAGCCCGATAGTTAGACACATGATCCACTCGGATAGTTCTTCCTTTGATCTAAGACAGACAGGCAATGCTTCAGCAGAGAGGGCCCTACTTCTGAACTATTTGAACCCAGCTGCAGAAAGCCATGGTTCAAACCACACCCTTTACCTTCCTGCTAATTCTATTTCTGGGGAAATCTCTAAGCCAGACCTGCCCAACTGGTATGTCACAGCACATGTACCTAGATAATAATCTGCCCAGCCCCTGGGGCAACCAGGTAGGCAGCTGGAGTCCCTGAGGCAACTCTACCAGGCAGCCTCCTCAGTTTACCCCAGGGTGCCACACAATAACCTTCAGGTTCTACATATGCAATTAAATGAAAAAATGCTCAGCAGTACTGCCCCAAAGCACAAGCAGCAGGGAAAACTGAGAATTTACATGCATAAACAATGAATTACCCTCAATCACATTAATTTGCAGTAAAACATACCATGGCCTGGCAGTTAGAAAGAACTCCTGAAGCGAGTGCAGCACTACAGCTGTTTTCTTGATACAGCAATTAGGATGAGGTCAAGGCAGACCAATATTTGGGAAAGGGGAAGGAATTTGTTTTCCTAAGCTCTCACGCCTTGCTCTACCCCCACCATACTGGAACAACTGGCTCACACTCATTTATGCTGTGGATCACAACTCTCTGGGTGAACAACAAAAAATTAGCCCCTCACTTAAAAATAGGCAGATACAGACGTATTCTATAGGCAAAAATCATCCAAAAGTTTATGTCTGGCTTTTATTGTTCCTATACAAGAACAGAGTTTCATTCTTACCTTTAAGCCTGAACTTAAAGGTCATCTTTCCTATTCCCCTTTTGAAAACATTTTAGAAAATCTCCCTTTCATGGAGATTTTCAGCTGTTCCATACTGCTGCAATCAGTGACAAATTCTCCAAGTCCAAAGTCACCCCCAAATCTATAAAAAATGCTTATCTAACTGCAGTGCTTTTCCTAAATAAGCAGAGGAACCAGGGAGAGCACAGACAAGCCAGACTTGTCTATCACCTTCTCTGGCCAAGAGTGGTCTGAGAGGGAACAGACAAGGGAAAACTTCTGAATTAGTTACTTTTGTAGAATTTGTCATCAGACTTCATCTAGAGAATTCCAAGGCCCAGGCATGCTAAGTCAATGGAGACATAGGACAGACACACAAAGCTATATCTTAGAGGATGAAGCCATAAGAGAGCGCCAAATCCTCTGACACAGCATAGCATGGAAGAGCAGTATTTGCTAGTCTTTTTACTGCCCAATACATCAGAGATGAGAGTAGGGTGTGAGAATGGAAAGGTGAGAAACCAGAGGCTTGGTTGGGGGTGAGGGACATGGTACCTATGTTCCTGGGAAGATGAACATGAGGAAAAGGAACAAGTGTCACCATGGTCATAAGCCAATGAAATTATTTCCTGGGATCATTTCCTGGTCAGTATGTCCCCACACCTCTACAACCCTCATCACATCCAGGTGACTAGTACTGTCCTTGAACTTGGGGCAATCAGGTGGGAAATTAAATCGAACCCTTACATACAGGAAAAGTCCAGCCAGATCCTGCTTAGTGAACACACTCACCTTGATTCCATTAAAATTGTCAACAGCCAAAATTGTGCTCCTCTGGTCTTCATAGCAAAGGAAACAGAATCCTTTGGATTTCCCAGTCTTCTTGTCCCGTACCAGATTAATGTTAACAATCTCCCCATATCTATTTATTTTATAAAAGAGTAAGACACTATTGATTTAAAATGCAAAAACTTTCAGATTGAATGACAAAACAATTCAAATAATATAATCTATACAAGAGATACATCTAGGAAAAGATGACATAAAGTTAAAAATAAAAATTAGACAAGGACAGAGCAGGAACATCCAATTACAAAATGAGTGGTAATATTAAGATCGAAGATGAATTCAAGGCCAAAAAAAAAAATAGTTCCCCTTAAGCAGGACTAAGAGAGCTCTTTTACACTAAAAAAGGTCCTAATATATTACAAAAATATGTCATGAAACTTTATACATAAGTTCACAAGTCAAAAATTTTAACTTAAGAAACTCTTAGAAATTCCAAGAGAAACTAATAACAAAAGTTATATTTTAGCATACCACTTTAAGTTTATAACACATAAAGCTGAAAAAAATAAGGTCAGAGGAATTAATACCAACATATAATTATAACATTAATATAAACAATAATATAACAATTATGTTGTTAATAAATATTAATGTTAAACTAGTGGATATATTTGAATCTTACAAAAAGAGTACCATTTCAAGAATCCATGAAACATGTATTAAAATGGACTATAGAATAAACTTAAATCACCTCCAAAAACAGAACATGTTCTCCAATCACAATGCTATACAGCTGGAAATAATATTTTAAATAAAAAATACCCTACAAGCTAGAACTTGAAGCCTATTCTCCTAACAACTGGATGAAAGAGAAATTGAAATAAAAAAAAAATCAATGGTAGACTATTTAAAAAATAACACAAATGAGAATATATACCAAAACTTACAAGATGCAGCTAAAACTACACTCAGGAAAATCTGTAACCTTAAAGAATTTTACTGTTAAAAAGGTAGAATAGGAGGCACATAGGTGGCTCAGTCAGTCAAGCATTTGCCTTCAGCTCAGCTCATGATCCCAGACTCCTGGGATCAAGTCCTGTGTTGGGCTCCCAGCTCTGGAGGGAGTCCGTTTCTCCCTCTGCCCTTCCCCTCTACTCAAGATCTCTCTCTCTCGCTCGTTAAATAAATATTTAAAAATAAAATAAAAAGGCACAATGAATGTAAAAGAAAATAAATCTAAGGAAAGCAGATGGGAGTTAATAAAGATAAAAGCAGAAATTAAATAGAAAATAGAAAAAAATCTACCTTATTCCTTATACAAAGTTAAATTCCAGATAAGTTAAAGATTCATAAATTAAAAGGTAGAGTCATAAAAATAAAACAAGAATTGATGGATACTTAATAACACAATCATACACATACATCTGGGCCAGATATCTTGTATCTTACCTAACAAAATACAGGTTTCCCCCGCTACCCGAAGGTTCACTTTATGCCACTTTGCTTTTACAAAACACGTACTTAGTCCCTGTTTTCACTAACTGGAAGAAAGGTGAAGAGGATTTTTGCTTTTATGATTATGGTAACTGCTTCACCACTTCACGCATTTTTAGCTTAGAAAGCTTTCGTAGAACAGTCTACCTTCAGAGAGCAGGGGAAATCTGTACTGGAGCTGATTCAGCTTAGGTCAGGAACTATTTCACACTGTTTAGTACAGTAGGTATAGGCCAATGCAATTAGGAGAAAACATGCAAAAAATGTAAAAAAAAAAAACTAAAACTATCTCTATTTGAAGATTATATATAATACTCTGGATAGAAAACCCAAGCAAATCAATCATGAACAATAATAAAAACAAACAGTATAATAATTCAGTAAGGTCACAGGATATAAAGTTAAAAAAATAAAACTCTCTTACGTACAAACAATAATCAGAAGATATGTAATCAAAGAAAAACCCCCCAAAAAAGAAAAACCCCATTTGAATTAGCAACAAAGATAAAATACTTAGAAATAAAGTTAACAATAAACAGTGTACAAAGTCTACATAGAGAAAACTTTTTAAAACTGAAAGACACACACATAGATTTAGACAAATATAAAAACATCTCTTATTTTTGGATAGGATGACACAACATCATATAGATAGCAACATCCTCCCCCAAGTTAATACTTAAATGTAATATAGTACAGGTTGTGTTTTATTTTCCTGGAGCTGGATAATTCTGAAGTTCTTGTGGAAAAATGAGCATGTAAGAATAGATAGAAAATTTTCAAAAAAGAACAATGAGGGAGCGTAACTCTGCTAGACATTAAACATACTAAAAAATTCTATGATTAGTTAATGTGGTACTAGCACATGAAGAGAAAGACAGACCAAAAGAACACAATAGAAAGCCAAGAAAGAGACTCAAGTATATATGGAAAAATTAGTAATATAAGTGTGACATCCCAATTTGCTGGGGGAAAATATGGACTTTTTTATAAATGTGGGAACTGGATACCCATTGGAAAAAAACCTGAAATTGGATCCATGTCTCACACTATACATAAGAATAACTCTAAATGGATCAGATTTCAATGCATAAAATTGAAACCATACAAGTACTACAAGAGAGGACAGTATTTCTCCCTACCTACCCATCTATCTAATTATGACCCAAAATTCAGAAGCAATAAAAAAAAGACTGATAAATTTGGCCATATAAAACACCAGAGCATGAGACTGTAAAGAGTCAGCACAAAGGAGTTTCTGGGGAGATGGAATTATCTTCATCCTAATTGTGGGGGTGACTATACAAATCTATGCACGTATTAAAGCTCACGGGACTGAGATACCTGGGTGGCTCAGTGGCTGAGCATGTGCCTTCAGCTCAGAGCATAATCCCAGGGTCCTGGGATGGAGTCCCAAATCAGGCTCCCCTCAGGGAGCCTGCTTCTCCCTCTGCCTATGTCTCTGCCTCTCTCGGTCTCTCATAAATTAATAAAATCTTTTTTAAAAAAAAGCTCACAGGGGGATCCCTGGGTGGCGCAGCGGTTTAGCGCCTGCCTTTGACCCGGGGCGCGATCCTGGAGACCCGGGATCGAGTCCCATATCGGGCTCCCGGTGTATGGAGCCTGCTTCTCCTTCTGCCTGTGTCTCTGCCTCCCTCTCTCTCTCTCTCTCTGTGACTATCATAAGTAAATAAATAAAAATTTAAAAAAAAAGTTATAAAAAAAAGCTCACAGGACTCTACACCCCCTAAAAAAGTCAATTTTAGGGCAGCCCGGGTGGCTCAGCAGTTTAGTGCCACCTTCAGCCCAGGGCCTGATCCTGGAGACCCAGGATAGAGTCCCACGTCAGGCTCCCTGCATGGAGCCTGCTTCTCCCTATGCTTGTATCTCTGCCTCTCTCTCTCTCTCTCTCTCTCTCTCTCTCTCTCTCACACACACACAAATAAATAAAAATCTTTTTTAAAAAGTCAATTTTACCCCCCCCAAAAAAAAGTCAATTTTACCATATAATTTAAACACATAAATGAATAAAAAATTTAAGTTTTGCACAGAAAAACATCAGAACAAAGTCAAAAGACAAATGACAAAATAGGAGAAAATACTAACAACTCATATCACAGATAAAGGACCAGAAAGCAATTTTTTTCCTTTTGCTATAAAGATCATCTGGACAACTGGTGAAGTCAAATAAAGTCCACAGATTAGATAATAATATTGTATCAGTGTTAACTTCCTGAATTTGCTAACCATACTGAAGTTAAACAAGAGAATGCCCTTATTTGGGGGGAAAATGCATATTGAAGAATTTAGGGATTAATGAGCAACATGTCTGCAACTCTCAAATGGTTCAGAAAAAATAATAGGTATACATGGGGAGAAATAATGACAAAGCAAATGTGGTAAAATGTTAACATCTGGGGACTCTAAGCGAAGGGGAAACAGGCATTCTTCATATCACTTTACATAATTTTCCTATTTTAAGCCTGAAATAATCTCAAAATAAAAAGTAAAAGAAAAAAATATAAGAACACGTTTATTTTTTTATAAAAGATTTTATTTATTTATGAGAGAGAGAGAGAGAGAGAGAGAGGCAGAGACACAGGCAGAGGGAGAAACAGGCTCCATGAGGAAGCCTGATGTGGGACTCGATCCCGAGACTCCAGGATCATGCCCTGGGCTCAAGGCAGGAGCTAAACCGCTGAGCCACCCAGGGATCCCCCCAAGAACACATTTAAACAGACTCCTATAGACCAAATTGGGACAACTGGAGCATGAAGAAATAATGATGGCAATGTAGTATAACACATCAAATTAAGTAAAGTAAGTCCACAGTAAACAACACATGACAAAGTGGTATAACAGAATTAAAGCCACTAAGAGTTTTTGTAAAATCACAAAGAAAATGAGGAACACACCAATAGAAGAAAACAAGCAAAGGACACGAAAAGACATCTTAAAAAAAAAAAAAAAAAAAAACAAGAAATAATGGCATGTACATCTATGAAAAGATTCTCTAACTCACTGATGATTAAATAAAGGCAAAGTAAAATCATAATGAGAAACCATACAAGTATCTTAAAAATAACCACTGCCAATTAGGATTCCAAAAAAAAAAAATGGGCATTCTAGTTAGAGTAGAAACTGGTACAAACTTCTCAGAGAGCAATTTGACCATATTCATAAAACATCTGAAAAATGCTAACATATTGACCTAGTAATTTCACTATGGAAACTATCAGGAATGCATACAAAGGATATATATTCTACAATGTATAGTGTAATACAATTTATAACAGCAAAATATTAGAATACCCAACATTTTAAAAAAAAGATTAAAAAAAGATGATAAAGAAATACACCAAAATGTTAAGTTTTTCCTTAAAGTACGTTCTATTTTCTTCTTTATGCTTTTCCTTTTTTGCCAAATGTTCTATAATGATTATACATTACCTTGATAATCAGAAAACAAAACATTTTTTGAAAACCACTGTTACCAATGGCAAAGACAATCTTCATGGAGAGCAAGGTATACAGCCAGAATAGAGAATTAGAATAAGCAAACACACTAGCTGATCATCACTCAATGCAAATAAGACAAAAACAGCCCCTATGAAGGCTGGACCAGACAGAGGTATCATAAGGGGTGGAAACTACAGGCTGCACCTGCTGTAAACTTTCAGCTGCCCAGAAGTCAGAGAAAGCAGCCTCTGTCTCTCTTGGGCGCTCTGCCAGAGTGGGCTGCCGAAGCCCTCTCTCATGGCCCTCTCATGGGTACTGCCCAATTTCTTTTCCATGGCCCTCTCCCCCATATGCTACCCCACCACTCAGCCATGGTCCTCTTCCTGTTGGACGGCCCCACCATCCCCTGAGACATGGCAATGTCTCTGCCACGGTGTGCTGGCAGTGTTTGCTTCTCCAAATCCTTCTGCCACAGTCCTCTGCCCTCAGGGTCCCTATGGCCCCATGGACTGTCTAACCACTCTGTGTAGCTCTGGGTTGTGCCCAGCCCCTCTCCCACCAGCCGCCACTACCAGTGCAAGATGCTCTCCCACCCAACGCTGCTGCTTTCATCTATGGGCAGAATGAAGAATATAAGGTTCACTTATTCATCCTTGTTCCTCATCAGCCCATAATTCTCAGCTTCTGGGTAAAGAGACCGGCTCTGCTTAGTAATCTTATACCCATCTAGAAACAAGAAAACTGCCTAAACTTTTTGCTTTTTCTCCCATTCCTCTGTGCTTTGCCCTAATCCTACAACACCACGCAGGTGTAGGCCAGAAGGGCCCTGTGATCATGGATTACCCTTGGGTTTGCAGGAGCCCAAGGAGTCCAACATGGTAGCTTCCTGTGAGTTATAGTCTATTCTGGTGTAGGCACAGGCTGAACAAGCCTCACTTAAAAAGCAATAAAAATAGACCAGAATCCCCAAGACAGCCTCCTAAATCATCTAACTTCTTGGATTTTCCATATTGGGAGTTCTATAACCATGTCCTGGGGCTGATCTAGACTAGAGCAGAAGCTCCAGCCCTCCCCATGCAGGGAGCCCAGTCAGACTAGAATAAAACAAATAGATTTTGTGAGGCCACAAAATGTATTAAGCAAGCATACTTTGATGATCCAGAAGGCAGGAAATGAAAAAGGACTTACTGTGAGAACACACAGATGATGTCCCCTTCAGTCAGTTCATAAGGAAGCCCTCCTAGGAGAGAAAACCACATTTCAGTTCCACAAACATTTACTAAGCATCTCCTCCATACCATGCACTAGGCCCAGCAATGGGGGTGCAAAGAAGAGTAAGCCACAGGGCCTGCCCTCAAAGAACTCACAGTCTGACAATTTAACAGAATCATATATAAGATGCGGCACTAGTGCAGCAAAAGGAGTGATTAACTTCATGGAAAGGTCAGTGTCATCACTAACCAAATACTCCCCACACCCAAAATCTTGCAAAGCAGACAGTTTTCAGCATAAAACTCTGTTCCCATAAACATATCTTGAACTCACCTGCTTTTTTTTAAGATTTTATTTATTTATTCATGAGAGACACAGAAAGCGAGGCAGAGACATAGGCAGAGGGAGAAATGGGAGCCTGATGCAGGACTCAATACCGGGATCCAAAATCACAACCTGAGCCAAAGGCAGACGCTCAACCACTGATCCACCCAGGTGCCCGGAACTCACAAACTCACAGCTAAGATTACAGCAAAATCAGTTTAAAAATGAAACTATTACCCCACCTCACACAGACTAAGGAATCCTTGGTTGTCTATAGACAACTGTTCAGCATTTCATAGGAAATAAATTCCCCTGCAAATCTTTCGTTCCTCATCTGTAAAATGAGGATATTAGTACTTATTTCACAGAACTGTTGTAAGAATTAAATAAAACAATGGACATAAAGTGCTTAGCACAATATCTGGTGCAATAACTTCTTTGACCAAACTGTCATATTATTGGATGCGACACAAGTGAATACAGAGATGACAATATGGCCACGGACAGAAGGCAGGAGTTAAGTAAATGAGGAAAATGAATTCTGAGGGAAGGAGAAGGGGGGGGGGCGCTAGCAGTAATACAAGATGGTGGTTAAGATAATCAGTTCTAGAATCCCATAGTTCTGGTTGTTCCACTTACTACCCATTTGACTTTAAGGAAGTCCATTAGCCTCCTCAGCTATGTAACAGGGGGGCGCGGTATGATAACAGTCTCTGAAAACAAGTGGCAAGGACCACAGTGAACGGCAAAGGTAACTATCATGGTCACTGACTTGGCAGGAGGAGCAAACTAGAAATGGAAGAGAAAAGAGATACAGAAAACGGATTTACGGGACAGCCAGCACAAAGAAATCGAAGTGCGTGATGAACGCCAGAAGGAAGGAAAGGCGGGAATGCTGAAAGGTTAGGAAGCGCACCAGGAGAGAATGACCCTCACCCAGGAAGATCCAGGCGCTGTCCTTGTACTCAGAGTGCCAGGACACCTTATCTGCCACCCCAAGCTGGACCTCACGCTCATTCAGCTCGTTGATCAGCTTCACTTTAGTTAAAGGGCTGCAGAGAGAGGCGGAAAAGCGGCCGTTAAGTGTGGCCCGGCCAGAGGGAAGGAGAGCAGAACTAGAGGGCTAGTTCTCAGTCTCCGCGCCTCTCCCACCCCTCGGCCCGACAGGCTCTCTCCCACCCCAGCCCCGGTGGGCAACTTCCCGCGGCCGGTCCCTACTTCTTAAGAGGTAAACTGAGGCCTTACTTCATCTCCTCAGGTTCGCGCTCAGCACGGAGACGTTAACTTCCGGGTGAGTCTGTGTCGCGCATGCGCAGCGCTGATGCCGTGCGCCCATTGGGCTCCGCGGAGTTCACGCCGCGCCACGCCGGAAGGACGGGCGCGCTGGGGAGCTGCGCTTGCGTAGTAGCGCAGAGAGGCCCTTGGCTCGCTCTGCGTGTTTCGCTCTCCTAGGGACTTTTTATCTAGCTTCTCGCTTAGTCCGTCTGTGAAACGCGGCATGGGTGTGAAGCGGGTTTATTACAGGACCCTCAGCTGCTGGAGGACGCCTGGCATTGATTGGGCTAGCTATAAATGTTTACTGAATTGAGATTGAAAAAGGTGCTGCTCTAGCAACTGTAGTCCCAGGCTCTGCCCTCAGTGCAAATCCCCTTTCGGGCTTCCACTCCCAGCCAGTCGCTCACGCACACACACCCCTCAAACCATCCCTGATCAGAAATTGCAGCAGAAAAGTGAAGAAGGTATGTGAGAGGGTAAATCATTTTTTTCTCCCTTAAATCCAAATGCATAGGCAACTAACCAGTATGATCGAATACCCAGATTTGTCTAAGAGCTCACCCTTTTCCCATAGTCTCGCTCCTACTTAAGCAGGAGGCAGAAATAAATAATGAGAAAGCTAATAGTTGAGCATATGCTACGTTGTATGCTAAGCAATTCACTTGTACTGGCCCTCCCTCCTCATAACTACCCCCATGGAGTCTATACATACAATTACCTTCCTTGTACAGAGGAAGAAACTGAGATTCGAAGGAATTAGTTAACTCAAAGGATGTCCTCTGCCTCTACCTATCAGGTCTTGTTGACTTACTCAGTCCTTACTGAGGATCTGTATTTGTCTTGTACAGTAAAATCTCTAGACAGGAATGTAAGGTGAAGTCCTCTGCCCTCTGGAGCTAATGATATCATTAAGGAGACAAAATATATTTGCTTGGTAGATTTCACTCCACAAATAATGAGGAACCCATAGAAGGTATCGTGGCATATGATGTGTGATATAAGCCATATTGAAGTTTTGAATCCATCTTGTATGTGTCCATATCAATAACTGGTATCAGACCATGCCTGGTCTAAAAGTGAAGTTCCAGAGCTGGGTAGTTCTCTGTGTAGGCCCCAGCTTAGAGCCCCAGAAATTAAGCATTTCATAAAAGTACTTTGATGATGGGATTATGACAACTGTACCTTCAATGACTCATCATGTACCCACATCCTGCCAAAAGCAGGAGACTCTCCACCAAAGTTTCCCTTCATTCATTCTGTGTTTGTGCCCCCACCCCGTCCAACTCAGCTATTCATTAACTTTATGGAATTATCTTGGCAATGAAAACTAAACAGTGACAGATTGCATACAGGTTTTATCTGCTCCTGGGAATCTGAGGTTGCTTAGATGTAGGGTTGAAGTAGCCACTGCAAAGTGGTAAACTAGCATGCAGCATTATCTGGCTGGATTCTTCAGGCAACTGTGAAATGAGAGAAATGGGGCTACATCTGGATCTTGATCATCATGAAGTTTCAAAAGGAAGCTGAAGCAAAAGAGTAGATTAAGAACAACCAAAGGGAAGGACAATTTAGTTGGAAGAGGACATGGGAAGACTGCTACTATCTAGCTAGTAGGTTCGGCAGAGATATTCTGAACCTGGGAGTTCAAACAATCCCAGTTTGCCTGGGACATCTCCAACAACATGCCTCCAGTTGGTAGGAATTGGTAGGTCAGATGGTGTCTAGAGATTTCCATAAGTCTAAGCGGAAAGGGGATGAGGATCCAGGGGACCTTCTGAACTTAGTGTCTGAGAGGAGGACCAGGGTTTGCTGTTTAAGTTTTAGTGATCTCCACTAGTTACATTCATTTGGCACCCACTGTATGGAGAGCTCAGGTTTAGGTTCTATGGGCAATGCTAAGGAAGCCAAAAGCAGTACTCACATTCAAGGCAAGGTCAAACAATGAGTCTAGCTAAATTCATCTCTTCACTTCCCACCATACCACATCCCAAAACAGCCTTCCCTCCTAACTTCCCTATTTCAAGCAAGGCTATAACCATTTTCCTGGTTGCCCAGGTACAAAAACAGGGGTTTCATATTTCCATGGTCCTTATTATTCCTCACCCAAAGATTTCTATCCAATCACCAGATCCTAATAACTGTGGTACTGCAATGTCTATAAAATGCATCTCATCTAGTCACAGTTCTGTTTCATTAGCACATTCCTTCAAGTTCTTTCATGTTATCTCCCCAGAAAGTATGTAAGATCCTGGAAAATAAAGGTCCCTCATTTTTAAGCCCACAGCACCTCAAACCTCAAACCTTTTCTGCACACATAGCAAGCCACCAATACAACTATTGGTCAATGAAATTAAAAATACACAGAGCTATATAGTAACCTTTAGGGAAACAGATGAGGATAGGAGAAAAGCTTTTACCTTCCTTTTGTTTCTTTCTATATTGTTTGAATTTTCTTCCCTTTATCCAGATATCACTTACATATTTTATTGCCATGTTATCTTGGCAGAGATATCATGATCTTTATTTTCTCACTTTTGTCTTTTGTTCATTCATTCAACAAATATTTATTGAGCAACTATTACATGCTGGACACAGTTATAGGTGCTAGGTTTGTATCAGTGAACAAAGCAAGGAGAGTTCCTGTCCTCATGGAGTTTACATTCTTGTTGCGGAATAAGGAAAATAAATGTATAAATATACATGCGATGTTGAAAAGTGCTATGAAGGGTAAGGGGACAGAGAGTGATGAAGTGTTGCTATTTTTTAAAGGTGATGGATCAAAGAAGGCCTCCCTGATAAGGTGACATGGAGGCAGAGACCTGCAAGGAGATGGGGGAACAAGCCAGAGGGTATTTGGGAGAAGAATGTTCAGGCAGAGTGAACAGTAAGCGCAAAGGTCCTGAGACAGGAGTGTGTTTGAGGAACAATAAGGAAACCAGAGTGGCTGGAGAGGAGCATGCAAGAAAGAGAATGACAGATTTTTTTTTATTTAACAAAATCTGATTTCATATCCATCATGTACCAGACACTGTTCTAGGTACTTTACATACATTAACTCATTTACTTTTCACAACAATCCTATGTGGTAGATACTATTATCCTCATTTTGCAGATGAGGAAACTGGAGCAAAGAGAGGTCAAGTCACTTGCCCTATGTCACACAGCTGGTCAATGGTAGAGCCAGAATTTGAACCTGGGTAGTGTGGCTCCAATGTCTGCACCCTTAACCATGATGCACAGGATAAGTGGGGATGAGAGGAACAGATCAGGCAGGGACATGTTAGGTTGCAACTTTAGATTTAACTAGGTGAGGTGAGAAGCCAGCAAAGGATTTTAATCTGGCTTACATTTTAGCAGAATCACCTTGGCTGCAAACTGTGGGGAGAGTGCCTAGGGTAGAGGCAGGGAGACTAGGAAGCTTTGCAGTAATTCAGGCAAGAGATGATGATGGTTTATCTCAGACAGCAAAGGAGAGGGTGTCCCATACTGGTATTTTTTTAAACTAAAAAATATATTTTAAAAAGCAGGGGATCCCTGGGTGGCTCAGCAGTTTGGCGCCTGCCTTTGGCCCAGGGCGTGAACCTGGAGTCCTGGGATCGAGTCCCGCATCAGGCTCCTGGCATGGGGCCTGCTTCTCCCTCTGCCTGTGTCTCTGCCTCTCTCTCTCTTTCTCTCATAAATAAATAAATAAATAAATAATTTTAAAAAATAAAAAATAACACACATGACATCAACAGAAAAGCATATTCTATGTTTATGAGTGCTCAGGTGGTGAGGTAGGTGCTAGGGCTACTACAGGAAATAAGACCATAAGGACCACAAGACCCAGTCCATGCCCTTGAAGAGCTCACAGTATTGCCAGATAGTTGCATTTATGAATAAACATAATACAAAGGTATGAGAGTCAAAATGAAGGTATGAGTGAATGTTATTGGAACCAGTTGAGAAATCAATTAATTCTGACCCCTATGGGGTCAGGGAGCTGGGAGTGGACAACAGGTTGTCAGGGAAAGCTACAGCGAGTCAAGGGATAGTTCAAAGGCAGGGAGGAAGACTGGTTTGGGAGAAAACTGATGAATTTTGTTGGAAAATTGTTGAGTCTAAAGCACCCAAGGAGCCAACAAAGGAGACCAAGGAGGAGGATAGATGAAGATGAAGCAACAGGAGAAAGTAGGATTCAAGAAGAGAGCAAAAAGTGATCAATGCTGTCAAACACTGCAGAAAAGTTCTCTTGGTGGAAGCACCTTTAAGTTTTCAGTGTTCCTGCCTACTTATGCCAATTGGTCCAAAACAATGTCTGTTTCTTAATTATAGGTTGCCTGGAGGAATATAGAATAAAACATGATGTGTGTGTTAACAATATCTTACCATCTCTTCCAGGGATACTAACCTGAATCTATACATGGGCTTCAGGACCTTGCATTTGTTTGTATGATGTGTATGTTACATGAACATGTGCATTTTTAAGGAGAAGGTCCATAGCTTCCAAAAGATTTCAAAATGGTTCCATGGTTCAGTAAACAACAGCTCAACAGCTAAGGACTGCTGCCTTAGAGCATCTAAGCATTATCTGTGAATATGATCATCCACAGATAGTTCAGAGAAGGTTGCAAAACTTGGCAAGAACTGTTGCAAGAGAACTGGCATGAGTTATGTGAGTCAGATATTGATAAATTGGAAGCATACTACACCCCCACAGGCTCCCTCTAAGCTCAGCACAGCTACTTGCTCCCAGCAATCTGACTCTTAGGTATAATCTTGAGGATCTGGACAGAGAATCCCAAACTCTTGAAGAAGAGGAGACCAAGTCACTTCCAGGGGTGAATATGCCCTCTAGAAGATATATGACAGATGCCCTTTTATCACCTGCTTGTCATTGTTCAACTTTCCTCCAGCACCCAGGACAAAGCAGTGGCTTTCCAAACCCCACGCAGGATAAATTTCAGAAGTGGATAAGGATTCTGATGAGCTGATTTTAAAAACAGAATCCAGTTTCAGGGAAGAAAGGAAGAGAG